ACCATCATTCTTTATCCCAGCTGCGCGGCCCCTACCCGCCCAGCAGAGCAGACAGAGCCAGTGCAGCTGTAGCCCCGTCCTTGGAGAGTACCCTCTGTCACACCATTCTGCCCAGTATCACTTTCGGGGAGGTAGGGGCAGCTTCTGTCCTGAGGGGGAACCCTGCTCCCTCGTGACACACTCCCCTACATTTGACTTCACGCTTGGGCGCTGTGCACTTGAAAACTCTGTTCTCAGTGAACACCTGTGGGTGGGGCCGGCCATGGCAGAGCACCCAGCGGGACAACCGAGCCCTCGCTCGGGGGGCAACCTAGGAGTCCTGGGGCTGGGAGCTGCCAGTGCCCCGCATGCTCCCTGTGCGTGGTGCCGTCTGGGTGTGTCCTGCAGTTAAACATTAAACCCACTCCAAGCCTGACCACTGCCACCTAGGCCCAGCTGGCCCCTCATGGCTCCCCAGCCCGTTGGCCCTCAGCGCCACCCACCCAGGTCAGGCAGGAGGTCTCCTAGTTCCCCCAGCCTGAGGGCTGCAAAAGGCAGCTTATGTATGGAGCTGGATGGGAAATGAAGCAGCCACATGGGAACGACACCCACATGGGGTGCTGGTACCGCAGGCCCAGGGCGCCCTGGCCAGCAGGGCCACGGCCTGACCTGTGGCAGCATTCCTGTGTGAAGTCCTCACAGCAGACAGGGTGCTGGCATATGGGGTTTGTCTCCCTGGCACACAGAAGCTCTCGTTCAGGAGCTGGGCCTCCATGGTGCCTTGTGCTGGAGGCGTGTCACCAAGCTTAATGGGAGCTGGCCTGGCTATGTCCCCTGTGTGGCCCCTGCCCAGGTCTGTCTCTCACTGTCACTTCCCGCTGTGGCTCAGTGGGAAGCCTCAGGCAGGGAGGCTGCCTGGCTGTCAGAACCCTCCGCTGGCTGAGGAGCTGCCACTGAACGCTCTTCACCTTCTGGAGGCAGTTCTAGAGCAGGGGATGGAGGGGGCTGCCATTGGCACCAGCAGCTATGCTACCCCGGGCAGGGCTCCAAGCACAGCTGCCTGGCTGGCCCACAGAGGTGCCAACTGCTGTCGTCTGTGCATGCTGCACCATCCCTGCTCTGCCTTTGACCTCTAAGCACCTCTGGTGATGGGCAGGAGGGGTGGGCCTGACCAGGCCCGGCTGGCCTGTGCTCCCCTAGGTTTTGTGGCTTCCTCAGGTACTGCTGGCATGTGTCTGTCCTCCTGGGGAGGCCCCAGGGGGGGAAAAGGGGCAGCCCCTGCTGAGACCGGCCAGCTCCCCTGTTCCCACCCTGGACATTGCTGAAGGCCCTCCGGCCACCCGCCTTCCCCAAAGCACAGCTAAGCCAGGAGGCTGCGGCCACAGCCCGAATCTGGTCCTGGTGCGCTGGCCCGGGGCTGATGCTGTAACCACTTGAAGCAGGAATCTTGCCACCACTAGAGGCAAGAGTGGAAAGACGGCGTCTGGGGCTCCCACATACCTGTCCCAAGCTGGCGTTGACCTTACTGTCGTGGGCCCGGACTCCTGGGCAGGCAGCTCCAGGTGGGCCAGCCCCCACATGATGCCTCCTGGGGAGGGAGCCCTCTCAGTGTGTGTCCCAGCCCTGTAGCCGATGCTAATAGAGTCAGCAAGAGAGTTGGGGTGCTGGGGCAGAGTCGAGGGACTGGGAGAGTTGTTCGGCTCACAGAGGCCCAGCTGGTGGCCCTGGGCACCTGCAGGGGCAGGTCCTCCACCATACTGACCTTTGTCACACGGGGAGGGGCTGTTTAAATATTTGAGTCGACAGCTTAACCCACTTACCCGGAAAGATAAAAGCCGCCCTGGGGTGAGGGTGTACCAGGATCTGGGCACCAGGGAGAGGTGGCCCAGCTCAGTGCACAGCCTCTACGGTGTGTGCCACCCAACATAGAGCAGGGGGCCTGGCGTGAAGGCCTCTGGTCACTCCACTTCTGGTCATCACCGTCTGGGCCATATGCACGCCCATGGGTGCCAGGCCCTTCTCTGGGACCCCAGAGGTGGGCTGAGGAGGGTGAGCCCTGATATGGGGCTGGGCTGAGCCAGGGGCGCCCTCCCCGGCCGTAGGCTGGAAGCTTCTAGCCTCTCCCCAGGTCAGCTCCCCTACCTTGATGCTTCCCGGGCTCCTGACTCCATGCTCCCTGAGCCCCACAGCCCACGGTTCCTGGCCCTGTTTGCCTGGGTCCCTGCAGACACTGAAGTTCCTGGGATGTTGTGGGGTTGGGGCCAGGCTGCGTGCGGGGACAGGCCAGGCTGCACGCGGGGATGGGGCTGTGTTGTGTGCGTGTGGAGAGGGGTGTGCCCCCTGTGGATTTAGAGACAGCAGTCTTGTGCGTTGGTGGCAGCCCAGGGTACCTGTATCCAGTCCAGCCAGCCGGGCTGACCTTGGCACCAGAGTGCTGTCTCAGGTGGCCTGGAGGTGAGGTGATGGCGGTGGACACCAGCAGCAGGCCACCACTAGAGGCAGCCTAGCAGGGTAGAGTCCTGGCTACATCTACCCAGTCTGGGTCCTGCCCATAGCCGGCTGCATGGGGACAGGCCAGTGACCTCTACACCAGGTAGGACTCTACTGTCTCGGGCGAACCCCCGAAAGCTGGATAAGGCTGACATCTAGGGGTGACCATGGTGAGCCCAGCTCCCACCCCCGAGAAGCAGCGGCCCTAGAACCTGCTGGGGGGGTCCAGGCTGCTACTTCTCCTGCTAGGGACACCTGCCCACCTGCAGGGCCATTCTTTTCACCCTGTTTCTGAGGGCTCGGGGCCACTCAGGGAGCAATTCCTGTCCACCCCCTGGGCTCTCAGGCACCTCCTTGGGGGACCAGCTGGCCACAGTAACCACACAGGACAGCCACAGTATGGCCAGCTGGGAGTGGGGGGAAGCAACTCTGTGGCAGGCACTGCACGGCTGGAGGGGGAGTGGGAACACGCAGGCCCAGGACACCAATGTGGAGGAGGGGGTCTCCGGCCCGAGGGGACCCCAGGTGCCCTGGCCAGGGGTGGCCTGGCGGGAGGTATGGGACCCAGGAGAGGGCCCAGGTGCCCTGGGCGGGAGGTATGGGATCCAGGAGGGGGCCCCAGGCTCCAGGCAGGGGAACTTGTTTCCGGTTCCTGCTGCAGCCACACCAAGGGGCCCAGCTCTCTGCCAAGGGAAATCTTTGTCCTTCAAAAAAATGGAAAATAGCAAAAAGCAGAACCAGATTTTCCAGAGGCCTGGAAGATGTAAAAAAAAAAAAAAAAAAAAAAAAAAGAGATATCTGAACATGCTGTACAGTTTAATTAAACAATTTTAATGCCAATTTCCAAATTGTCCCCCTCTCAGCTCTCACGCCAAGGCCAGGAGCTCGTCATAGCCTGCCTCCTCCTGTGGGGCTTCGTGGGGGCACACGCTGCCCTGGGCCCACGCCCAGTGAGCGGAGAACCCAGGGGCAGGGTGCATGGCGGCCGGGGTCTGGCGGGACAAGGACAGCGTGGCCAGTGCCTACATGGGCCTGACGGAGTGGAAGGAGGAACGGGCCAGAGAGGGGATGCCCCGTGGGCGTCCACGTGACCTCGTGGGCCTCTAAGGAGGCCATGGCTACCTGTACTGTCAAGTTCTGTGTTTCCAATCCACAGCCCTGGCTGCCAGGGACGGTGCCCGCCCACCTCGGAGGGTCCCCTGCCCACAGCCAGGAAGCTCAGTGACAGAGGTCACAGACCAGTTGTACCAGGACTCTGGCCCGCTGTCCACTCCTAGCACATGGTCCAGCAGGTCACCCCCTGGCCCCTGGTAGGGCTCTGTCTGGGTGTTCAAGTTGGGCCCACCGGTCCGAGCTTCACTCTTCAGCCGCAGCCCAGGTCCAGGATCACCACCAGGCCTCCAGCTCATATAACAGTGCCAGGGTAGACCAAGTGTTCCCCTTTTCCCTGCAAAGTTGGGGTGCACAGGAGGAGCTGCCACTCGAGGTTGGCCTGGGAGTGGGACCCGCACTGGACTGCCCCTGCTCAGGGCAGCAGAGGCCACTCAGGCACGGGCAGTTGCAGCCACGGCCTCGCTGGGGGGTCTCTAGGTCCGGAAGGCCCTGGCGCTGTGACCACAGGGACCCCCGGGCCGGGCAAGGTGGGCACACAGCCGGTAGCCCCAGTTCCCCGCCATCGCCTGGGCCTGGAGGGGACTCCGAGTCCGGGGTTGTGCCAGGTGTCTGAGTGGGCACCCCGGGAAGGCGGCGCAGGGGCCTCCCGCCTCTGCCTTCTTTTAAGGGGGGCTCTGGCCCTGCCCCAAGTGGGAGGGGCAGGGATGCAGGGTGGAGAGGCGATGGATACCCACGCAAGTTTGTGGCGACTGCCTGCACGCGTGCCCGATCCCCCCACCCTGAACCCCCTCCACCCCGGGACACACAGCCGGGACAGCGCTCCGGGGCCCGCCCCGCCCCAGAGGCGCACCCCGGCGCGGCGCGGAGGGGGAGGGCGCGGCGCCGCGGCGGGCGCCCGTGCAGATGGGGGCGGGGAAGGACGTGGGCGCCGCGCCCCCCGCCCCCCGCCGGCGCCTCCCGCGCGCGCCCCCTGGCGCTCGGCGAGGCGGGGGGCGGGGGCGCCCGGATCGCCCTCCAGCTGACGGCCTCGGCCGCGTGGCGCCGGCGCGCGGGGAGGCTGGGTCGGGGCGCGCGCCGGGCCGATCGAGGGGGACCCCGCCGGGGCGCCCCCAGCCCCGCGCCCGGCCCCCCGGGGCGCCCCGCCCCGCCCCCGCGCTCGCCCCGCCCCGCCCCGCCCCCCGCCCGGCTCACTCCGAAGTTTCCTGTGCGGCGCGCGGACCGGCGCCCGCACGCTCCCGCCGGCCCCCCGCGCCGGCCCCCGCCCCCGGCCGCGCCCCCGGCCGCGCCCCCAGCCGCGCCCGTCCGCCTGGGGCTCCCTGCGCTCCCGGGGCCGCCGTCTCCGCCGCCGCCGCCGCCGCCGCCGCCGCCGCCGGGAGGACCCGAGCCGGAGCGGGAGCCGGGCGGGCCGGGGGCGCGGGGACTGCGCCGCCGGGCGATGCGCGCGGGGACGCCGCCGGGCGCCAGAGCGAGGTGAGCCGCGGGGCGGGGGAGACCCCTCAAGTTGAGCGGGGCCGCGGGGGTGGGGCGGGCCGGCGCGCGGCGGGGGCGGGGGGCGCGTTCGTCTCCGACGCGGACAGACAAAGGCGCGGCCGCGGCGCTCCCGCCCCTCACCGCCGCTCCCCCGTAGGTGCTGCCCGCCGCCACCATGACCGAGGGCGCGCGGGCCGCCGACGAGGTCCGGGTGCCCCTGGGCGCGCCGCCCCCGGGCCCTGCGGCGGCGCGGACTGCCCCGGCGAGCCCCGGGGCTCCGGAGCGCGCGGCGGAGCAGGAGCCGGGGCCCTGCGCGTCGCCCCCCGCGAGCCCGGCGGCCGAGCGCGGCGCGGAGCTGAGCACCGACGAGGAGCAGCCCGTCCCGTACCCTGCGCTGGCGGCCACCGTGTTCTTCTGTCTCGGGCAGACCACGCGGCCCCGCAGCTGGTGCCTTCGGCTGGTCTGCAACCCATATCCTTCCCGCCGGCGCGTGGGGCGCGCGAGCGGTGCTCCCCGGGCGAGGAGCTCGCGGCGCGTTTTGGGAGCCGTGGGGGCGCGCGCGTGTCCCGGTTCCGGAGCCGGTTCCGCCGAAGGCGTGCTTCTCCGTGCGCGGGGGGCCGGGGGTGCTGCTCGTACTCGGGTCTGTCCGCTGTGGGACCCGGAGGAGCTCGGAGGAAGGGAGCCGAGTTGGCCGCGGGCGCTCAGATCCGTGTCCTGGGGGAGCCGTGACATCGGTCGTGAAGCCGGCGCCTGAAGTTGTGTGCAGCTGGGGCTGGGGGCAGGGAGGCAGCTGGAGCCGCTCGCCTGGTCGCTGCCCTCCCCACCCCCTCGGACGCCCTGGCCTGAGAGCCACGGGCACGCTCCGCTCTTCAGAGCCTGGCGCAGGCTCAGAGAAGGTTCCAGAACAGTGTGGCTGGGGCCCCGGTGACTTTGGGGTGCGGATCTGGCCGCATGTGGCCAGGCTGTGCACCCCGGACCCTGGTGGGCAGCCTCGGGGGTGGGGGGAGCTCACGTGGTACCTGGGGGCCTTGACTGTAAACGAGGAGCCAGTGGAATGTGTACGTTCCGCACCTTGTGAGCGTGGCTGTGTAAATATTGAGCACAAAGGAGTATTGGCACCAAAAAAAGCAGCCGGGACTCCCTCCTGCCCAGTCCGAACCTCGTCCTGTCAGGGGCACTGTCTGGGGGCGGACGTCTGGTGGCTGTGTCCTGGGGCTGCTTTGGGGTGGGCAGGGCGGGGGACCGGCCCAGTGCCAGCACCTGCGTTTGAGGTGTCCGAGCCTGTGCAGACCAGCGCGGGGAGGGGCATGGGGTCTGGACTTTCTCTCTGCTGACGACCGGTGTCTGGCCACCCGGACCCCCAGCCCTCCCATTCCCAGCTCTGCCTCGCTAAGGACTCCTCAAGACTTTGCCTGACTCTGTGGCCGGAAGGTTGGGGGCTGGGGGGCAGCTTACGTGGATGTGCCGAGCCCCAAAGCCCAAAGCAGGTGCGGAGCACCTCCTCGCCGAGGATGGAAGTGCCTGGAGCTCTTGGCCGGGCAAGGGGCACCCCGGAGACCCCACTCCTGCCTGCGGACAGGGCCTGCGGCTTGCTGATGCTGGGTCTCCCTGGAAGGCTGTGCCACACCCCTGTACCTGTGGCCTTGGGCACCCCAAGGCCTGGGGAGCTGTTTGTGTTGGTGTTGGTGATCCCTGTGACCCAGCCCCGGGAGACGTACAGTGTCCATGCTGGTGCTCCCTAGAACCACTGCAGGGATGGAGGGGTTCAGCTCAGAAGGGCCCCAGTAGGGACCAGGCCAGGTGGATGTGTGGGGGCTCAAACAGAACCTAAAAATTACCGCGCACGGGAGGCAGGTGTGGCGGCTGTGCCCCTGCCTTTGCGAGGCCTCCATTGTGGAGGGCAGGGAGGGCTCCTGGGTTCTCCAGGGACCAGACAGCAGAGTGGGGCCCTGGCTCTTAGAACCCCACTAGGCTCTGCGCTGCGTGAACACGCGTGTCCTGGCTTGCCCGGGGGACCCCGCCTCCCAGCAGACAGCCTGGTGTGGCGATCGACTTCACTGCTTACAACTGCAGTTGTGCGTAACTTTTGGGGCGCGCTGTGGCTCCTACACGGCTTTATTTATAGAGGCAGGTGGGCGGGCGCTGCCGCCGCCAGCCCCCTGCACTCCTGGCTCCGACTGTGGGAATGGGACCCGGCTGTCGTCTGGGGAGCAAGGGAGGAGAGCGGTGCTGATGGGGGGTTGGGGGACCCCGGAGTTCTCCGAGAGGGGTCAGCTGGAATCCTAGGGAACGGAGTGCGCCAAGGTCAGTGGCTTAGTGGCGGAGCTGGCCTGCACTGGCGCTGACACCCCGTGTCAGGGGGTCCTGTTTGGATGGTCCTGGACAGACCTGTCACCCTGCACAGCTATCTGCACAGTTTCTGGGCATCCGAGCAGCTTTAGGGGTGCCCAGCATCTGTGCCAGTGGTGAAGGGTGTGTGTGTGTGTGGCCTGCTGGGGCATCTCCTGTCCTTCGGAGGTCTCTGGGGCCTCTGACTTCTTTGGGTCCCGTCTTATCCTCATCTGGTCCATGTTTGTGTCCGCAGATTTGGGGGGCTCCCAGGGTGGCTGGACCCTTGGCTGCTCAGGCTGAGGCTGAGGAAGAGGCCCTGTGGCATGCTCATCTGAGCTGAGGTGGGCCTTGTGTCCGGGGGCTCCTTGCCTGTGGGGGTGACCCAGGGCAGGGACACAGCCTCCGTAGGCGATGACCTGGGCATGTCTCGGGTGGGCCCTACCAGCCCTTCTGCCTGTGCCCTGCCCCTGCCCAGAGGCCCTTGGCTTGCGCTGACTCCATGGTCACTTGCCTGGGTGTCTCAGGGAGCGTGGATTCCAAGCAGGTGGGCCCCAGCCCATGACCTGGAAAGCTGGGGCTTGCTGGACAGGGTGGCCAGTGCACAGAGTAGATGGGGATTCTGAGCACAGCTGGCCTGACAGAAGGTGCAGGGCTCCACAGCTCCTGAGAGCCTGGTGCGTCCCAGCTCTGTGTCACTCAAGATCCAGCAGCTCCACAATGGGACCTGGATGGGAGGGTCAAGGCAGCCTGGTGACCTAGCAGGGACCCCCGAAGGGAGTGGAGCTTGTGCTGGGACCCCTGAAGAGAATGGAGCGTATGCAGGGACCCCCGAAGGGAGTGGAGCGTGTGCAGAGACCCCCGAAGGGAGTGGAGCGTGTGCAGGGACCCCCGAAGGGAGTGGAGCGTGTGCAGGGACCCCCGAAGGGATGGAGCGTGTGCAGGGACCCCCGAAGGGATGGAGTGTGTGCAGGGACCCCCGAAGGGATGGAGCGTGTGCAGGGACCCCCCCGAAGGGATGGAGCGTGTGCAGGGACCCCCCCGAAGGGAGTGGAGCATGTGCAGGGACCCCCGAAGGGATGGAGCGTGTGCAGGGACCCCCGAAGGGATGGAGCGTGTGCAGGGACCCCCGAAGGGAGTGGAGCGTGTGCAGGGACCCCGAGGGGAGTGTGGTGTGTGCGGGGACCCCGAGGGGAGTGGAGTGTGTACTGTGTCTCCGGGTGGGCTGAGGAGCGCCTGGTTCCTTGGATGGGCCTGTATGTTGGGTTGGTGCTGTTCGGGAGCTTTATGTCCTGGATGGGTGCTGTGGAGAGTTGGAGTGATGGGCTGGGGGACCCAAGTCAGGCTGTGTGAAGAGCACAGGGCACAGGGGCTTGCAGCAAGTGGCATGGGTTGCTCTCCGTTCCCTTGTGTAGTTGCAGTGTGGACTTGAGGCACAGGGCTGGGCCACCTTGCCCACAGTTGAGGTCAGGTGTAAGGGCGGGGTCCTGTGTGCAGCTGGTAGCCTGGGCTCCCTCCTGGGGACGGTACCCCTGCACCTGCCCTGTTGCACCCAGTGCCCACCAGCAGGTGTATACTAGGGCCTTCCTGGGCATAGACTGAGTGGAGCTGTAGCCAGGCAGCTGTGGTGCCAGCAGGACATGGTGGTGAGGGACAGGAGGACGCTGGCATGGCCACAGGCAGCAGGGCCAGGCACTGTGCCCACCATGTGCCACACTGACTGTGTGTGGGCAGCTCCAGGCAGAAGCCTGAGTCGCCCGAGGTCACCTGGGTCCAGGGTGCTGGACTTATCTGTGCCGCTCCTCTCCCAGGGCCCATGGCTCCCCTGTTCTGCACAGCGGCCGGGGTGGACCCTGCGAACTGGTTTGACCCCCTGCTGCTGGGAGTCAGCCACAGCAGTGACCACAGTGTCCACAGCCTGGGGTTTGGCCAGTGCCATCCTCAGCTGGTCGCGCCAGGGTGCAGGGAGCTCCGAGGAGCCACCTGTGGGTACCTGCCTGTTCTTTCCTCTGGCCCCCAGAGAGGCTTTGGGCCACCCCATGCAGCCCAGCAGTGGGAGCTTGGAGATCGCAGGGGAGGATCAGGGATACAGGGTGGTGTCCCTCTGTGCCTTGGTCGGACACTGGGGCTGGCAGAGGCCTGGAGGAAGCAGCCAGGCAGAGCTGTTAGCAGCCCCACGCGTGGCCCCCGATCCAGTACTGCCATTGCCGTCTGTGTGTCTGAGTGCAGGGCCACCCTAGGAGCATGTCCCCAGCAGCAGCCCCACCTGCAGAGGGAGAGCAGTGACAGGTGGCCGGTGGTACATGGCACTCAGGACAGAGCCATGAGGCACACTGTACACACCCTGAACAAAGACGGCCTCGGGGGAGGGGGCATCAGGCGTGAACTTGGCTGCATCTTGTGCCCCCTGCCACTCAGCCCTTCTGCCCCGTCTTGTCAGGACTTGAGTGTCCAGGGAGCTCCTACTGGGCTGGCTGGGCCTCCCAGGACTGGGACTGACCCCAGGGCAAGAGCACCCCGTGCCCGGGAGCTGGGACTGGGGGAGCTTGAGGGATACAGTGGGCTGAGTCCACAGAGGAAAGCCCAGCTTGAGTGGCCCCTGGTGCCAATTGCCATGAGCCTGCACAGGCTGGGGGCCGTCCACCAATCCCATCCCCAGGACCGCAGGCATGGGGCCTCTACCGGAGGCTGCAGTGCGGGGTGCTGGGGCTGGGGGCAGGGGATATGGGCCTGGGAGCAGCATCCTGGGAGGTGAGCAGGGGCTTTGTGGGTGCCCAGGGCCACTGGGGCTGTGTGGCGCCACCTGCCCCATCTGTGGCCGCCCAGTGATCCCAGTGTTAGCGCTCACTGGGACTGTAGTGACTGCCTGGGCTGTTCCAGCAAGGCCATGCAGTAGCCGGGGCCATGCTGGCTTCTCCAGGATGAGCCCCTGAGGCTCAGGCCCTGGGGTGCTGTTCACAGGGACACAACCTGGGCCAACTGCATGGGTTCACCTCACAGTCCAGTTGTGGTGGGCACAGGGTCCCAGCCGTGGAGGGAGGCCATGGTTCAGTACCCAGAGCAGGCCAGGAGTCTGTAGCCAGGCAGAGGGGGCATGGCCTGAAGGCACCCAGGACCCCTGGTGTGGTGGCCACAGCAAGGAC